CACTTCGCGTCTTCGTTTTACCGGCGGGACTACTGCCTGATGCTCTCCCTCAAGGCAGATAAGCCGGCCACAGGAATAACTCGTGCCCCTGGGCGTCGCGCGAAACGTGGAGTGTTCTGATAGCGTGTCCCAATAATTCCTTGTTATCTTCCTTTGGTCAGTCCGCCACTCTATAATGGAGGCTGGCCAGTTTCGTGAAAAGAACTAACATCGAAGAGCGGGGAAATTTAGGTATTTTCCCTTATCTGACATGTCGAGCAGTACATAAATAAGTACGGAGTGCTCAGACTTCGTCCTTATTTACAAAGTGCGGGATCGGCGGCTAGCCGGCTGGTCGGCTGCCGAAAATCAACCTTGGCCAGCGAAGCGCTGCGAGTTATCAACTACCTATTCAAATGCGGCCGGGTCCGGACTGGCCGGTCATTCCGTGATCGGCCAGCCAGGGCCACAGCCCAGCGGCTGGCTTCGACCAGCAGCGATGGTCAGAGTATCACAGCCAGTACGTCGAGTGTTTTATTGTTTCAAATTTCAAAGCAGTGTGAATAATTTCGCTTAAATCAGGGCAAACGTAGATATCGAACACAAGGTGCATACAATCCACTTTTTTCCTGTACTCAGCAAAAACTCCCGTATGATATGAGTGTTGGAGAAGAACTGCGTTAGAAATTCAGAAGACGACCTCTGCCATCGGTCAGAACCTCGGCCCAGCGCAACTCGCCTCAACGCAGATCACCTCTGCCCGGCTCATCTCATCTGGGCCCGGCTCACCTCGATCCGGCTCATCCCGCCTCTGCCCGGCTTACCTCACCTCGGCCCGGCCCACCTCACCTCGGCCCGGCTCACCTCACCTCGGCCCGTCTCACCTCGGCCTGGCCCACCTCACCTCGGCCGGCTCACCTCGGCTCGTGGCGTGGCAAATCTAGCTAATCCGCCATGCGGTCAGCTGTTGGCTCGCACGACGTGCCGCCTAGTGTGCGTATGACAAGCCACTTATTTGTTGCCACGCCATTACGGTACGGGTCGCTGTAAGAATCCACCCTGCGGTCATCCGAATAAGAAATCCCGGACGGTCTGTGGTCTGTCATCGCTGATGGAGCTGCTGTGTCGATAATTCTTATCTTAGTCTGTATTGAAAAAAGCAGGAAACGTGTCACATAAAGCCGTAAATGCTCATGATATATGTTGTTCGCATGACTGACATCCCTACTAAAGGCCATAATCAATGATGGTACCATGTGTACCGCGGTTCAACAGGGCTTCCCTCAGAGCCGACAGCAAACAATTCTGACGTAGTATACAGGCCCTGGGTACGATGCATTCAACAGTGAGTTGGGGCTTTACGGCGCACTCCATTGTTAAGGTCATGTGGCAACGACTGCTTCTCACACGGGCCGGAAGGATCGTTCACCGAGGGAAATGGAACTTTCTAAAATTCACAAGTTACGGAAACCAACTGTTACCCGGGTACGGGATGCTTGAGGTGAAGCTGCCCTTTCAGCTGCCCTGTCCCTGTAGAGCATGGTGTGATCAGCACACTGAAACACCAAACAACACCTAGGTATCAAAACAACAAACAGCTCTCAGCACCAAAATACACAGGTCGACACCACCACCAGCGCAACGACTCACCCCACTTTTCTAATCAAACAACGTTGTTACGCGGAGGCTGATAATGGCCTGTCCTGCTCACCTTCACCACAGAAATGCTGCTGATTTGGAAGTCAACACATGACATGGGTGAAACTGTGCTGTTTATATTCAGATGCAACTGCATTATTAATAACAAAACATAAAGGAAGTCACTACTGTGCACATCACAGGACATCAACGCTGGGACTACAGCAATGCATACAATGAAAGGCTGAAAGCACGGAATTTGCATCCACAACAGTCTTTGGTTGGTTTCGCTAAGATATTCATGATGTTGTGACGGCTCCTACCTGTCGTGCTCTGTTAGTTCTAAGATATCACACAAGTCGAAAATTACTACGTTGCGTATGTGAAACAGTCCACCCGAAACTTTACCGACGACGCTGAGACACACAAGGCGACGTGCAAATTATGCGCTAACTGGACATCGCAGCCGCCACGAGGAAAATGACTCGCGTCATATTTACCGAGCTATCACACGTTTCAAGGTATTCCCTCCGTCTGGCTGCCAATTCCTGCCAAGTAGCCCCGGCGTCAAAAATAAAAATACATGACTTAAACTTTCCCGTAATGGGAAGTTTATTTAATCATTAGCGAAATCTCGTTTTTTAGGAAGCTTCTTTCCCCAAATGCATATCCATAGATATAAGAAAGCTATTTCCATGATATCTAAATCTTCAAATGTGGGACATTTCCTTTAAAGGCAATACAATAGTTACAAGCCAGCTTTTTATTATGTCTGATACTTGCCTTCACTTTTTCAAATGTGTAATATTCCGTTTAACCAGAACGACGTATTATATTGCAAGTCATATACTCAGCATAATAGATTTTTAAACTCATAATAGTAATAAAAAACCCAGTCTGGCAATTTGTGCCCTAAAATTGAGGCCTCTCTGGCCTGGTGCTCGTCTAGACAGGCACGAAATACAAGGGAACTGGCAATGTCCCCCTCCACGTGAGAGAAGAGCTTTTCTAAATATTGAGTGAATTAGCTGGAATTAGATTTTGGTCACACGCCTACGCATAGACACGGCGCAATTTCAGACAGATTAGCCGAGCTGTTGCATATTTTCTTTTGAAATTAAACTCATGTGCATGCATGACGTGCCACGTCTATGTGAATAACCTGCATTCAAAATACAAATGCATGTGCTCAAATTCAAAGTTTTTCAGCACAGCCATCTGAATGGACCAAACCTCTTTCATCCTGGCTCATCTTCAGGCTCTGGGGAGGCCCGTAGAGCCGGCGTGTGTCCGCGGCGGCTGTGTTTAGGGACGCGCACGGTGGCAGGATCGCGTGAAGGTCGCGGCGACTCTGACACTGGATCAAGACACGCCTCTGACAGGGAGACACGGCGCCGTAATGGGAGCCGTACCGCCAGCTGGGCGGCTGGTCAGTCTCGACCCGGGCTCGGCGCCAGGCCGTGCCTGCGGGGCTCGGTGCCGGGGCTGACACCGTGGTCTGCAGGGCTCGGCACTGGGGCTGACACCGTGGTCTGTGGGGCTCGGCGCCGGGGCTGACACCGTGGTCTGCGAGGCTCAGCGCCGGAGCTGACACTGTGGCCTGCGGGGCTCGGCGCCGGGGCTGACACTGTGGGCTGCGGGGATCGGCGCCGGGGCTGACACTGTGGCCTGCGGGGATCGGCGTCGGGGATGACAATGTGGCCTGTGAGGATCGGCACCTGAACTGACACCATGGTCTGCGGGGCTCGGCGCCGGGGATGACACCGTGGTCTGCGGGGATCGGCGCCGGGGATGACACCGTGGCTTGCGGGGTCGGCGCCGGGCATGATTCCATGTTCTGCGGGGGCTCAGCGCCAGGGCTGACACCGTGGCCTGCGGGGCTCGGCGCCGGGGCTGACACCGTGGCCTGCGGGGCTCGGCGCCGGGGCTGACACTGTGGCCTGCGGGGCTCGGCGCCGGAGCGGCGGACACCGTGGCTATCCGCGGCGGTGGGCGGGCTGACCCGTTGACTTGCCACTGGCTGTGAGCTGAGCCGACTCCATGAACCGCCAACTGCTGGTGGCGGCTTGGGCTGATTCCGTGACCTGCCGGTAGCTGTAGGCGGGGCTGACCTTGAACTGTTGGGGCAGTGGGAGGGGCATTCTGCTTCGCGGACGCAGCCCGAGCGTGACCCACAATTCAAAGTGAACCCAGACAGGTGGGCAAAGGAAATATAAAGAACTACTAAAAAAATACATTTTGCACGACAAAATTTGATGAGGAAACATTGTAAATTTGCATGCACTGTCTTCAACGACATTTTGTTCGATTGAAATCATACCACGCAAAGGTCAGCATACAGTTGACCAACGAGGGTCAATCCAGGTTTGGGGCAGCCGTACCGCAGTATTGTGCGGCACGAGAAACCGCATTCCTGTCTGGCGGAAGGATGGAGGTAAAGCCATCCGCTGAACTGGACAGCACCACCTGCCTGGGGGGGTTCAGGGTACACCCAACAATGTTTTCTTGGCAGGTACTCTGAACCCAAAGCCTCGATGGTGTGATCCAGTGGCGTCGGTCTCCGGCGCTAACAACCACGCACGAGTCGCAGGCTCCCAGCGTCGAGTGTCTCTGATCTATAAGTGTCTGCTGTCGTCTGATGTCTCCAGCCATGATGTCTGCGCGAGGAGTCACGCGCACACACTGCTGTTTAGGAATTCCGATTAAACGTGGGATGAATTTGAACATGTTTTCAGCACATGTGTCATGACGAAATCACCCGGCTTTCACCACGGTGAAATAGATGTGCAGTGCCTCGGTCGAAGGTAGTTACTATCAAAAAGAGACAGGAAGAAATCAGTCAGTACATTAGCCACTGCTCTTTGTATAGCCTCGCCCATTTGCACCTGTGAGACGTTTCCTTGAGGGAAAGGGAATAGGGAGCGAAGAGTGTGTTGTTTCTACAGAGTGATGGGGTTTTAGTGGTTAAGATGCCCGGCTCTGTACAGCCATGGGTCCGAGTCCATGGCACGCCACTAGTGCGTTCCACATGATATACGTACCATAGTAATCCCATCCAGAAATAGCCCTGGCAGTCGATGAGACGTAAAGCCTTTCATTTTCTTTTTTTGAAAAGAAGAGGAGCGTGTAGCTGTGTTCATGATATCAAAAGGGACACTGAACACATCTATCCGAAGTGGTTTGCTACGATATTTCCCCGAAGCTCGGTGTCGATCTATCTGACACCTCCAGTGTTTTCAGCGTCGTCGTCGTCAGTGTCAGTGTCCGTGTATCAGCGCTGTCGACTGGACGTGACGGCCGCGACCTATCTTCAGGGGCTGACCGTCAGCGCCATGACGGCGACGCCAGCCAACGACAGCGGCTTCCCCATGGCGGCCATGCGCTCTGGCTACGATCTGCCGGTGTACGGCTTGGACGACGGCAACTTCTACAATCTTCACGTGGTAGCGCTGGGGATCATCGCCTGCAGCCTCGCCTGCGCCGTCACCGTCGTCGTCTGGAGCTTCCGCACGCACAACACCAAGTTCTTCACCTGGTCGCAAGGTAAGCGCGGCGTCAAAGAGCTGTGATAAAGACATGAAGTTTCCTGTCATCAGATGGCTATCAGGGCATATCACATTGACAAACTTGTTCAATTCACGGTTATAATTAGAAAGTAGTCGAAAACCAACTGAAAAGAGTACATGAATGCGTTATTCAGATCTTGACGTGCCCCAGTGTCTGTGACTGCGCCGTCACCTTATCAGTTGTCTATTCCTCACCTATATGAATATTTGATAACATGCTCGCCGACGACCGACGTCGGATGGAAGACGCCAGAGCCGTTATTGCGGACGGCGCGACGAAGGCGGTCCCCTGGGCGGCGTGACGAGCTCAGAGGCGGCCTCGCCCAGGGGTGCCGGCGGTCCCCTGGGCGGCGTGACGAGCTCAGAGGCGGCTGCCCAGGGGGCGGCGGTCTCCCGAGGCGGCGCGACGAGCTCAGAGGCGGCCTCGCCCAGGGGCGTCGGCGGTCCCCTGGGCGCGCGTGCGTGACGGCTCAGAGGCGGCCTCGCCCAGGGGCGTCGGCGGTCCCCTGCGGCGGCGGCTGTGATTATGAAGCTCAGAGGCGGCCTCGCCCTACGGGGCACATCGGCTCGGTTCCCCGAGGCGGCGTGACGACTCAGAGGCGGCCTCGCCAGGGGCGTCGGCGGTCCCCTGGGCGGCGTGACGAGCTCAGAGGCGGCCTCGCCCAGGGGCGTCGGCGGTCCCCTGGGCGGCGTGACGAGCTCAGAGGCGGCCTCGCCCAGGGGCGTCGGCGGTCCCCTGGGCGGCGTGACGAGCTCAGAGGCGGCCTCGCCCAGGGGCGTCGGCGGTCCCCTGGGCGGCGTGACGAACTCAGAGGCGGCCTCGCCCAGGGGCGTCGGCGGTCCCCTGGGCGGCGTGACAAGCTCAGAGGCGGCCTCGCCCAGGGGCATCAGCGGTCCCCCGAGGCGGCGTGATAACCTCAGAGGCGGCCTCGCCCAGGGCTTCGGTGGTTCCCCGATGCGGCGTGACAAGCTCCGAGGCGGTCAAGCTTCAGCCTGTCCGGCCCTGGGTGAGCTTCGCCGGTGACGAGCCCAGCCAGCTCAGTATTGCCCTGTCCGGCCCTGGGCGAGCTTCGCCGCTGAGGAACCCAATCAGCACAGTCTGGACCTGTCCGGCGCTGGGCGAGCTTTGCCGGTGAGGAACCCAATCAGCACAGTCTGGGCTTGTCCGGCCCTGGGCGAGCTTTGCCAGTGAGGAATCTTATCAGCACAGTCGGACGTCAGCCTCGATCGGCGCCGACAGAGGTCGATGGATAGTGCGGCCGCGTGGGGACGGGCCCGCCAGGCGCCGCACACACACCGCTGCGGTGGCGAGAGATGTCGATGTTTGGCCGTACAAAAGCCTTAAGTTAATCCGCGATGATGCGAACGGTGTTGCGAATTTTAAGTGAACTTGTGATGCGAAGTGCAGGCAGTCTTTTGTTCAGCCTCATTAATTATGTCCAGCTTCATCGATCATGTTCAGCCTCAATGCTTTCAAATTTGTCACAAGGGACGATGTTTTGTTGGAGCAATCGGTTTGGACACGTGATTCCTGAATTTTGGGATGACTAATTCACACTCATGATGATATCGTAGGGACTTTTCTTTTGATTTCACGTTATCCCTGGATCAGTTGTTTTCGGGCGTCCAACATCACAGGTTCGTATTCGTGTTCACAATCATATTCATATTTATAGGGCGTGTTCGACATTTGTGTGGGGTTGTCTACTAAAATATGCATCTTGAAGACCATGCGGTGCAGTTCACAGCCCAACCCTTTTTAAGACCTAAACCCCTCTAGCTTCTGAGCTACCAAGCCCCAAAAGATGTGCAGGCTCTTTCAGGAAGACTATGGCAAGGTCCCCAAGGCATCCATGACGCCGAAATGACGTCTTTAAAATCTCGTCATTCATTTACCCATGCGGCGATCAAGCTAAGAAACACATAGTTGTCTCGCCGTTCATATCTGGCGTTGTTAAACACGATTTCCAAATAAAACGGCAGTCCATTGGCTCTAAATCAATGTGTTCCAAGGTATCGTTATGGTAATCAAACGTAATCAAACAATAACGTATTGCCGAACATATTAATTAAACAGAGACGTCGTGTTGGCTAGAGCAGTCTTTTTCACGGAACAGTTTACCGGTAGATAAAAGTGACCTGATTTCCTCGTGCATATATATATATATATATATATATATATATATATATATATATATATATATATATATATATATGTAATATTTGCTTCAATATCTTCAGCTGTGAATACCCTTTCATGGGAATGTCTCGCACCTTGCACAACATTGATTGAGAGCCAGTTGACGGCCGTTAAATCTGGAAATCGTGCTCACGAACGCTAGATGTAACCGCCTTAGCATCTATTTTTATTGGTTCCGATCGCCATATGGTCTATGGAATGATACGACTTAAATGTTATCATGACGTCATGGAGGCTAAGATTATTCTGGAACACTTCCTCCGAAAGTCTCTCCTCATTTCCGTGAGCGTTAAGCTAAAAAATTAAAGGGGCTTAGGTCTTAGGGAGGGCAATGTTGTGAACAGCACCAAGTGGTCTTTGAGATGGGTTTTCCAGTTCTAAACCTGGTATAAATGTGGAACACTCACTTTAAATACGGTCGTATTGATTTTCATATTTACATTCGAATACGGACACCTGCAAGTTTGATCAGATTTATATCAACAGTAGTGCTCGACATGCTGATTATGATGGTGTTTGTCGTGTCCGCCAAATTGAGAACTAAGACATGGAGGTTTACGAAGTTCAATGTTGCTGAACGCGATCTCTAGGATTTTTCTTAAACCCATATAACTGATAGAACTTGATAAGCTGATTATAACGGTGCATCTGGTTTGGAGCCGGATTTTAAAAATAAAAATATGAACGCCGGAGATCTACGAAGCCCGAGGTCGGGGCATCCGGGCCCGTAAATACGACTTTGTGAAACCCAGATTAACTGTAGTGCTTGTCACGCTGATTTCGATGGTGCGCCTCGTTTCAAGCCCCATTCAAAATCATTACCTCCAGAGATCGTCAGAGAAGTCGCGGTCGTCGAGCCCGGAAGCCCACCATGTAACTCAACTTTATACCACTAGTAGTGTAAAACATACTGGTTAGGTTAATGCATCTGGATATCAATGACATAGTTTGGCCTGTTGATTTCGATGGTGCACCTTGTTTTCAGCCATATTCAAAAGTATGATACCTAGAAATGTTCAAAACATGTAGCCAATTAGCTGGACTGGGCTCCTACGTCGTTTTGCGCCACATTCAAGCTTATGACCTCTAAAGAATTTCAAAGTGTAGCCATTGAGCCCGAACCCGCACGACGTCCCTCAAGTTCACGTCGCTAGTGGTGTTAAACGTGCTGATTACAATAGTGCATCTCTTTTTACGCCACATTAGCAAACATGACCGCCATTGGTCGACTGAGTTGAAGATCGTTGAAGACGCACGTCTACGATTTTTCAGAAACTCATAACAACGAGTTTGACGTGCTGGTTAGAATGCTGTATATTGTTTCACGCTACATTAAAAATATGGGCCTCAGAGACATATGAAGTTAGGAGTCATCGAACATGGGCCCGTACGATTTTTCAAACACATATCAACGATAAAGTGTGATGCATTTTTTGACAATTAAAGGGAACATCCCGCCTTTGAAGATATTGAGATAAGCATCAGATATGATGGGAAAAGCTTGCTTGCTGAATTGTTGACTTATCCTTACCTGCAGTGCTGTAGTCCGGACATTGATGTCATGTGATGTGCGCAGTAGTTACTTCACTTATTTTTTGTAAGTGGATGTCTAGTTGCATGCAAGCGTTAATAAATCTGCAATATTGCAATGAATTGATTGGCAAAACATTGCTATTTCCTTGGTAAAGAGGGTAAGGTGGAGATACAAAGAATGTTTTTCTTGTTTAGGGTTATGTATGCAATTACTAGTAGGCCCTGATATAACCATTGTGGTGCAACAGCACTCTCCTGGTGATAGTCCTTTAGCGTTGTGGAATGAGTTGTTCCGTCATTCACAGATTATAAGCTGTTTGACACAGAGTAGTCAATCAATGTGGTACATTGTGTGATGGCACCGGTCAACAGTGTAATCATGGCACTACCTCAGTGCTGTACTGTGACATGACATAATGAATAATGATATGGTTTTGTACTGCAATCATATTAAGGAAAGCACACAACCAATACGTGACGTCGCTTGCTCAGCCTGTTTTGGGAATCCACAAAACATAGGCGACAAAGATGCAAACACATCTTCTGCTTCCCCATCCATGCAACATGCTCGGCCATCAGGCTGCTTAACTCAAAAATATTGTTTACACAAGTAATAATGCATGCATGGCAATACAATATCGCATGAAGTGGAATGATACTGCACATCTCCTGACCTTGCACAATGCTAGAGGCATGACAAGTGCACATAGGTATGGTTGGATAGAAGAAATGCAAGAAAGTGTTGAAGCTGCCGGTGCACATAATGCTCATGATAAAAATATTATTAAATGCTATCAAAGACACCAACAGCAATACCTCTCCATCTTTCTCAGCACCCAGCATCTCACACAAGTAGCAGTGACAATGACAATAATGACTCACGAGCAATGCTTGCCTGCATACCATTTTTTAAGACGGTCCTATGGCGCATACACAATAATACAGCACTATATTTTAGAATTCTTAGGTGAAAGACAATTTTGTAAAGTTGTAGCATGCAAACCTATACCAAGCATGTGCATCAATGAGATGTACCAACCCATCCCTACTGCCAACATGAATTGCTTATAAAATGGCATGCGATGGATTAATTGCATGCTGCAATACCTCAATAGGTTCAAAATGTTGGCAAGATCGTAATGAAGTAACAAATTGCCTTTTAAACACCCCTGCAGCATGGGTGTTAGTGTTTATTTCAGGTTGCCGACATCACTACCTTGTCATGCTCAAACACAAACCTAAAG